AGATGATCCAAGCTGCTCTTCGATGGTCCTCGCCGAGAAGACAATGCACACGTCCGAGCGATGCCAAGGGCCAAGGGAATGGGGGCTTGGGTGCCACGTATGCCAAGCTGGTGGACATCGAATCCGACCCCACCTCCGCCTCCACCACCGCCCCCGCCGGCCGAGACGCCTCCCCCCGGGGGCTGGGGCTTCACGGCGTGGGCGTTTGAGGCAGTCGGCTACGCAGCGTGGGTCGGTTCGCTGCGCTCGAGCGGGGGCTGCATCGGCCTGCGATGGACCGGATGGGCGCGAAGCTGTCGGGATGCTGGCGGGAGACGACAGTGCTCTGCACTGCGATGGGGGCTCTTCACCTTTCTCCTGGGGAGCGTGGCCTTCTGTCTGAACGTGGTGGCCACGCCAGTTTTGTGGATAGCCTCTGGGCTCGGTTGGCCCCGGCACCAGCTCACGCGCTGCTGTCGGCGTCGCGTCCGCGCGGGGCCCGAGGCCCATCTCCCGCCGCCCCCGCCAGCCCCGCTGCTCTCGCGGTTGCGCGGCCTGGGCCTCGGAGGGGTTGTCGAGGCAGAGTTCTCCGCGAAGGGAGTCCGAGGGCGCGGGACCAATCGCGCTCTCAACCACGTCCTGCTCCGCCAGTGCGGCCAGGTCGCACGCATCAGCTGCAGCTTCGGGGACAGGTATCGCCTGGACCGGCATGGCCTGACACTGAAGATTGAGCCGGTGCACGGCTGCACGAGCTGGACGTGGAGGACAAAATTGGCGGCGACGGGCAACATGCGCCTGCGTCGCGGGACGGGATGCGACAGCTGCCCGGTCGCGATCGACCACACCCAGATCGTGGACCTGGCCGAGCACGGCAAGGCGACCGCCTGGCGGGCCGCCGGCGCGGGGCTGATCGAGGAAGGTCTTCGGGTTTCTGAAGCGGTTGTGCTTCTGGATCGCATGGTCCGTGCTCAAGTGGCCGTGCTGCCCGCGACCTGAGCCCCGCTACATCACCGACGCAACCGGCTACCGAGCGCCGGCCATCGACGCGGAGAGCGAGATAGAGGCGGAGGAGCGACCGTGCCAGGCCGCACAGGGGGGGGTCCAACAAGCGAGCGGGGCTCGACCCCTGCAGCCGGAAGGGTGCAGCGACCTCGGGATGCAGGAGCCGACGATCCTGCTACAGGAGGGCTCCGAGGTCTCTGACGTGCCCCGCTGGGGGGACTGCACGCACGCGCAGCTGCACCTCTGCGCGCGCCACACGCAGAAGTACCAGCCTACGCTTGTTGAGCGGACAGTGCAGCCTGCCGACGCGCTTCCGCCTCGCCCGGCAGCTGCGGAGGCGCACCCATGTGTGGCGAGCACCTCCGCAGGGACGCGGGACCCACCGCGCGGGCAGAGACTACTGCGCAGCCCGGAATCCCGGGGGGGGGGCTGCGCCGGCGGCTGCGGGAGCGGGGTTCCAGCCCAGCCCCGTCGCAGCAGCATCAGCATCATCCTCAACCGTCGTCGTCGTCGTCCCCTGCTTCCCACTTCCTTATTATCCTCCTCGTCCTTATCCTCCTCCTCCTCCTCCTCCTCCTCCTCCTCCTCCTCCTCCTCCTCCTCCTCCTCTGCCGACGGACTGAACCTTGGGGATCAAGTGTCGGCGGCGACCGCGACCACGATGACCGCATCGACCGCCGGGGTGCCTTTCGGCGAAGCCATGCACGGTGGCGAGAGGCCCGTCGAGGATCGCGGCGGGGCCCTGGGTCCTGCCGTACCGGCCGCCGCCACGGTCTCGGGTCCACCGTCACGTCTGGTCCGCGGACGCTCCAGGGATCAGGCCACACCGTCGGACGGGATCGCTGACAATGCCTGGCTGCAGGAGCCCTTCGTCCTGAAGGTCTGCCCGATCTCCCTGGACGGCCCGACGAACCAGGACTAGGGCGACCCGCACTGGTGCGTGCTGCTTGGGGAGTGCGAAGGATCGAGCTCCGCGGCGAACGGGGACGCGCGCCTCGTCACCAGCACCGGCCTGAACGGCGTCCAAGTGGAGGTGCCGTCCAGCGAGGTAACCCGACATCCACCCCTCGGGGAGAGGGGCGGTGCCCGATCGACTGGCCGAACCGGCTGCTCCACGAAGTCCCGCAAGGGGTGCGAAAGGTAGGCGCAAGAATGACCGCGCACCACATCCCGAGAGATCTGATGCCGATGCTTCGGGACGAGCAGTCGGACGGGGTGGACCTGGAGAGCGCCAGTCATTGGCGTCGCAGCTGCCTCACAGCGGCGCAGCGTCGCCACCTGCAACAGGATCTGGATCGGATGCTTGGCCACCATCGTCGGGGCGGGGCTCGCGCCCAGCGCCGAAGGCCCGGTTCGGAGGGACTGCCGCGCCCCCCGCCGTTGGCGCCGCCGCTGCACCCGCCGCCCGACGAGGACATGGACGACGCCCCACTGGACCCGGTTGAGGTCTTCACGTCCTCACTCCGGGGCCAGACCCTCGAGGGTCGTGGCGGGGGAGCAGCCGCTCTCGGCGCCCTGGGGGTGGTCGCCGAACTGCTTCAGACACCGATCGATCAGGCCGATCAGCAGCTGCGAGGGGGGGTCTCTCGGATGGCCGCGCGCGGCGCGCTGGGGCCCAGCCTGCAGGAGGCCGTCCCGCAACTCGGCGACGCTCCGCGCCTCTCGCGCGAGCGAGCGCTACGCCCGACGGGGGCAGGCCCACGAGGGGGCGGGTCGCGCGAAGGGCCACGCAGCCGCTCGGCGCAGGCCAGGGAAGCCAGCCTCGCACCGGTGACCCCGCGCGAGCTTTTCGGCTCAGCGCCCACCTCGAAGCGCGAGGGTCCAGGCCGAGGCCTGCTCGGGGACCAAGATGTGCTTCGACGAGGGCGCCACCAGGAGGCCGACATGGCCCCGAACCCGCTGCTGTCGGGCCTGTCTCCCTCCGGCCATCTCATCAGCCGCGTCCTCCGCGGTCTCGAGGCTCAGGTCGACAGCCTCGGCCACCAAGCTGCGAGCTTCGGAACCCAACTAGCTTCTCCAGAAGCTTGACCACGGGAGCCACGTGGCCGAGCGACAGGCGCGAGCAGCGGAAGTCGAGAAGAAGGCTTGAAGGACGCGACCAGGGATCGGTCGGGAAGAGGAGCTCGACGCGTACATCGCGCGAGCGTGTAACGTTCGAAATAAATGCCTGCGAGGTGTGACAGAAACATTTTGGCCCCTGCGGGCGCGCTCGCGCGCGCGCCCCTTCTCTCTTTGCGTCTCCGCCGCCCCCGTGGCGACGCGCGCGGTCGCGCCTTCGCGGGCGCGCCTCCGCGACAGCAGTCTCCGTCGCCCCCGCGACGACGCGCGCGATCGCGCCTTCGCGGGCGCGCTCCGCGCCGGCGGGCCAGCGTCGCGCGATGCCGGGGTGCTTTGTCTCCCGCCCAGGCGAGGTCGCGAGTGGCCAGCCCCCGCGCCCCCTTCACCCGCCGCCGGCGGGGCGTTGCCCGGCCGGGGTGGCCTGGCGCCCTTTCCAGGGGGGCCTCAAGCTTGCAAGCAAATGGCTGCGCGCACGGGGCGGCCGCCCGACCGCGCTCGGCTGCGGCGGCGAGCGCCCCGGAACGCGGGCGCGCGCCACTGCGCGCGCGCGGGCGACGCGAGCCTCGCGCGGGCTCGCGCTCTCGTGGCTGGCGCGCGCGGCCGTTTGCCGTGGAACGAATCTCTATTCTCGCCCTCCCCCCGCCCTCGTCTTCTTCTCCCCCACCCCCTTCTCCGTTGAGCGCACGCGTGCTGGCGCTTAATTTGACTGGCTTGTTTCGTTTGTGGACTGCGGGTTCAGTGGATTAGGAGTGGGGGCTTCGGCACGTAAGACACGTGGGCATTCGGCTCGAGCACTGCGCCGAATCGGGCGCCCGCGCGCCCCGCTTCGCCCCCTCGAGCACACGCGCTGCTCGGCGCAGGCCCCGCGGCAGCGAGCGCGCCGGAACGCGCGCGCGCCGCTGTGCGCGCGCGGGCGGCGCGAGCCTCGCGAAGGCCCGCGCTCTCGTGGCTGGCGCGCGCGGCCGCTCTGCCATGGGACATGTTTCTATCCTTATCCTTCTCCCGTCCTCGTCTACCTCTCCCACGCCTCCTCCTCTTTCTCCGTTGACTGCGCGCGTGCCGACGATTAACGTCGTGATGCAGCTGCGATCGATTATCAAAACGTCTCCGCTGGGCGGGTTCATCTGGCCCACGAAGCCCAGCCCTGAGAAGCAGCATCTGTCGCAGTCTAAGACGCGCTGCGCGGGGTTCAGCCAAAGCCTTCCCAGCCTAGAAGCGCGCGCCTGCCATGGGGCAGCCCAAGAAGCAATGCGCCCACCGGCCTCCGCTGCGATACCCAGATACTTTCCAAAAGTTTGAACCTGGAAGCCCCTGGCGTTCATGCCCTGCCCCCCGAAACTCCCCCTGACCTCCGACAGTTCAAATCCGCCAGGGGGCATGACAATGATCTTGGCAACAACCATGAGCATGCCAGTCGCTGCCACACTCTGGGCTAGAAGCTTCACCGCGCGAGAAGGGGTGGAAAAACTGTCGGCAGAGGCACAGGCGAGACCGTCCGCGAACCCAATCCGATTGGCCTTCGGCCGCACGACCCAGGCTCTGAATAACCTTGGGATTGGGTCGATGCGCGCTGCAAGGATAATGCCAGAGAGAGAGAGGGCAGCCTGGCCGAATACCTCGCTCGAGCACGTCCTCACTGCTCCTACGACCCATCCAGGCAGCTCAATCCTCTCAAGAACGCGCAATGTCCATGCATGCGACATGCTTGGGAAGGCTTGCCTCAGGTCAGAAGGGCACGCGCCCGCATCCTGCAGGTACTCGATGCCCTCCATGGCATCATCTTGGTATCCAGAGAGATGGCGCGGTCTGACATCTGACGGCCAGGGGCGAACCATATTCTGGACCAGTCAATCGCACTCTGACCACAATCAGCGAGGGGGCCAGGCCATCGCGGCAGCGGTCATCTCATTGCACGCATCCATGCTGGTGCGAGGTCGGGCATGCCCAAAGGTCTGGCATCTTCACAGGACGAGGAGGAGGAGAAGGAGGAGTTTGCGTCCCCAGAGGCGGCTCGATCTCGCCCGAGGACGCCGCGGGCGCGGGGGCGCCGAGCCACTCAGGCTCACGTGGTGGTCCAGGTCGACGTAGGTGGAGTCGAAGAGGTCGTCGTAGCCGTAGTCGTTGCAATCGAAATGGTAGCGAGTCGAGCAACACGTAGCGCGCCGCGCAGTCCGCTGCAGCAGGAGACGAGGCACCGAGGGCGCATCCCTGTCCATCTCTTTGAGCGCGAGGTGAAAAGTAGAGCCCTCATCCACAAGCTTGGCGATGCCAGACGTGGCAGAGGCCCAACGCAGAGGAATGCATCGAGCAAGACCTGCGCCCGCTGAGACCCACGCGCGGTCGTCACCTGCACGAGGAGCACGCTGGAGACCACCAAGAAAGAGCACCTCCGGCATTGCAGCACGCTGGAAACTACCAGGAGGTAGGGCCGCACGCAGTCGAGCAGCAGCAAGAGGAAGAGGAACGCGCTGTGTTGCCTCACGTCGAACACCATGCGAGCTTGCAGCCGACTCTGACAAAAGTCCCGACGATGCCGAGGACGTCGCCGAACGCAGCGAGACAAGGCCCGAAGAGGTCGAGGCAAACGGAGCTGAAGCGCCCGCAACCGACGCCAGAGGAGCCGACAAACACGCAGAGCTCGAAGAGGACGTGGATACGCACAGACAAGATGCAGACCGAAACTCTGGAGGGACATAGCCAGGCCCGACACTGCGAATCTCCTCCAGCGCCGACTGGGAAGGGGCATCGCCACACTGAGCCCACACAAGGTGCTGAGCAACATTCTTGTCATTCGTATACTGATTTACCTTCTTATATTTATCGCCTTCTTGGTACGCGCTCGACCTTCGAGCGGCTCTTCGTAGTATTCGGCGCGTTCGACGTGCTCGACGAACTTCGCCTTTATGATCTTCTAGACGCAGAAGAAATAGACGGCGAAGCACTCCGACGAACGCCTGTCGAGGGAGAGGCCCATCGCAGCGGGATGCAACGAACCAAGCCCTTGCCAGCGGAGTGCCACAGATTATCGCCAGGAACACCGCGTGGAAGTTCCGCAGGTGGAACTCCAAGCAGCAGTACACCAGAACGTTCGAGTCGACCAGGCTGAAGAGGCACAGCACCTTTGGCAAAGTGCGGATGCCACGACAATGGACACCCTAACAGTCCTATCATATAATCTAAATGTGCTACAGATGTCGAACAGTGTTCTAAACATGTTGTAACCATGTTTTAACATGTTTAAAACATGTTTAGCAAATGTTCTAGACACCTGGAAATTATTTGGCAGCATGCCCCCTCTCCATTGATCGTTCTCCGCTGGGAAAGAGGCCCAGCCTCCACGGGTCGACCTTCCTCGGCCGCAGGAGCAGCGAGGCCGCGGACCGGCACCGCGGCAGGAGCAGCAGGCAGCACGGGCGCCGGCCGCAGGAGCATCACCACGGTGCGGCACGCAGGTCGGCTGCAGGACGGTCAGCACCGTCGGCAGCAGCCTGGAGAACGTCACGCGCCCGTGCTCGAGCGTCAGGCGCAGACTTGGCACGAGGGGCACCGGTAGGGGGGGACTGGCACAGGGGGGGATGCATCGACCTGGAATCGGCGATACGTCGCCGATAGATCGGCGCTGGGCCTCCGAGAGCGAATCCGCACCTTCCTGGGCAGGTTGGGGCGATCGGGCCCCTATGGACGACGATCAATGGGCGATTGGGGGTCCTGGCATCCCCCCTATGCCTATCCCCCCCTATCGCTGCCCCTGATGGCAGCCGGTCCGAGCAGGGCATCTACTTCAGGGGCAGCGCGGCCGGCAGCCCGCGCCAGCCCGCGCGCCGCCGACACATGAGCTGAGCATCAGCACGCTCAGCATGGAGGTGGCCCAGGCGCCGGTGCAGAGCAGCCGTCGCCTGGTCTGTCCCTTCCAGCCAGGTGGGAGCTCATGCCGTCGGCGCCGAATGCACACTGCGGATAGAATCGGCGTGCCGAACGGGTAAAGACCCTCGGACCCCCCGGGAAGACCTTGAGGCAGTAGAAATCGCGCAAAACGCCGTGAAGTCCGCAATGAACAGCTGCTGCAAGAGGATCCGCACCGTGAGGAACGGCGGCGCCCCCAGCAACCAGCGCGCTAATAGCGCGCGTCTGGCCAACCATGGACAATACGATCTCGGAGGAAACTCGGGGAGCTACATCATCCCGCGGGGGGTCCGCACAAGAGCCAAGTGGATCCATCCTCGGACCGCGATGGACCGCGCCCGCACCTCCAGGCAGTGCGCCAGCACCGCCCCGCACACTGAGAGCGCCATCAGCAAGGTCAGGAGGAGCAGCATCAAAGACGAGGTCAGGGACCAGGTCCGGTTGCCATAAAAAGGTCGGCATGAACAGCCTCGATAGGAGACTCGGTATGCAGAGCTTGACCAGCACGGTCGGCACAAACAGAGTCACCACAGCGATCATAACAACCAGACACGCCACCACGAACGGCACGGGGCCGAGGACCATCGGCAGCAGGTCGCCGCAGAATTTCATGCACTTCACGCACTTAAGGCGGCGTCGCAAGATCTTGCAACATATAGCGAATACGCGCAATGCGATCCTCAAATGCGCACAATTCAGACTCGATGCCGAGGTCAGACACGACCGAATCCACAATGGCCAGAACGGCGTCTGGCGCCACCTGAATGAGGTCTGGGTCGCCCGGGGTCGGGAAGAACGTATCAGTCGGCACACCAGGCGTCGAAGAAGACGGAGAAGAGGTCGGATGTCTACTTATGCATATGCAGCTCCGCGAGGAACGACGCCACCTGTGGAAGGTCAGAGACCGAGCGCGTCTCAATCAGGTAGACCACTGGCGGGCTGGGGCAGACGATCAGCGACTGCGCGAGCTGCACCACCGAGTCAATGGTGAAGGAAGAAGTCGAAGACGCGGGCAATAGCATTTCCAAGCAGAGCGCCTCACAAGGACGTGGCAAACAATCGCAGAAGCTCATGAACGGGACACGATGCTTGGCACGCCCATCTACAAGATTCTGGTGCAGGAGACGGCGCTGCACCTCTGGCGAAAGAGAGATTCCCCGGCCGCAGCGACAGCACCCCGAAGATGATGCGAGCGAAAGCCATTACGCTGTTGGAGGTCCGCATGGGCCTGGAGTCCTTGAGCCATGCAGCGGGCGTTACGATGTAGCAGCTCGCGAACCTCCACATCGCGACGACCCGGAACACGAGGTCGAAGTTAGTCACGCCGAATCGCGCGACCCCGCCGAAAATCACGTGCAGCTGGGCTGCATGGGCTCTGGAGCCAAAGCGGATACGGAGAGGAGGAGGAGGAGGAGGAGGAGGAGGAGGAGGAGGAGCAGCAGCAGCAGCAGCAGCAGCAGCAGCAGCAGCAGAAGCAGCAGCAACAAAAGGGAGGCGCGCCAGACACAGCGCTCCGTGCGCCGCGCCCACCACCGTCGGGGTCCCGGGCGGCGGCGGGCCAGCCGGGGTGCCCCAGCCAGCTGGAGGGGCGTCGTGCGCGGGGCGCCAGCCCTGCGCAGGCCCAGCGGCTCGCGCCGCACCCTGCGGCGCCAGCGGCGCGCCGGGCGCCGACGCCGCCCCCCAGCGCAGGTCGCCCGGCGGCGGGGCGCCGGGCGGCGGGTGCCCCCCGGGCGGCGGCGCGCCCCAGCGCGGGGCGCCGGCGCCGCACGCGTGCGGCGCGCCCGCCGCCGCGAGCACTGGCGGGGCGCTGCCGCCGGGCGGCGCGGGTCTGGGCAGCACGGGCGCCGGCGCGGCAGGGGGCGCGCCCGCCTGGGCTCCACGCAGAGCGGCCCCAGGCAAGGGGGGGGCCTCTGGTGCTCGGCACGTAGGGGGGGAGGGGAGGGGAGGGCAGCGTGGAGGTCGAGCCCGAGGGCGAAGGCTCAGTGGCGGGGGGGGATTCCTGTGGGCCCGCACCAGAGGCTCCTCTGGCGAAGGGTCACCCTTGTTGGAGGCCTGGAAGAGAACACCAGCACCAACACAGGGGGGTGCCTCCGCGTGAGAAGATGATCCTTGATTTTGGCGTTGGTGGTGTTCCTTCGGCCGCCTGGGAAGCCCGAACACTTCTCATCATCACCGAGATCAGGATCAGCGTCCCTCCGTGGAGGCACGCCGCCGACACTGGTGGTGGCGTCAACCTCTGGGCCTCCAATCTTGCGCGCAGCCGACCGCCAGGCGGGGGCGGGGTGGGCCCAGCTCCCCGGGCGGCGGCTGGGGCGGGCGGGCTGGGCCGCCGCAGGGCCCGAAGGCCTCGAGGGGGGCTGCTCCCGCGCCCGGGCGGCGCGGAGCCTCGTGCACGCCAGGCGGCGCCTCGAGCGGGGGGCCGCACGGCCCCGAGCCACCTGCTGGGAGGCCGAACGCGTGCTCGCTGGCAGGAGGGCCGTGCGCTGCGAGAGGGCGTGCTGAGAGATCGGCAGTGCCTCCCGGCACTGGGCGCAGCACAGCCCACCCCCACCCCCAGCCCCCAGGCCAGGACCTCCACGCCCGACCTGGTGATCCTGGGGGTCCTGGCTGGGGGTGAGGTTTGTTCTTTGGTGTCAAAAACCACCTCACTCCCAGCCAGGACCGCGCAGGCGGATGATGCAAGGTAAAGGCGAATACTGATGTGGTTGCTCGCCCCCTTGTCAAAATGCGTTGCCTTGACCTTGCTGCCCGCATCCTTGTCACTCTTCTCCTCCTCCCCCTCATCCTGCGACTCCGGATTACTCCTCACCTCCTCTCGTCGTTGTTTTTGTTCCTTGCCCTGTTCCTCATGATCGTCAGCCTCCTCTCTTCCCGCTCTGTACCCTCCTCCGCCTCCTCCTCCTCCTCCTCCTACCTAAGCGTGTCTTATTGTTCTCTCCCATGTGGGTCCCATGTCCCTCCAGAGCTGTCCTACGTCGGCCAACGTACTGCTGCGCACGCCTCGCGGCAATGCACTTTTCCCAGTGTCATGAAGCCGAGTTTTTCGTGCCATCACCCTCCCTTGGTAGAGGATGATCGGTGACCGTCTCTCCCCGCTCCCTCACAAAACATGATGGGATTTGTGAGCACTCGTTTTGGTCACAGGTCGGATGGGATTAAACAGCATGCGCCCATCCCACCGCCAGTTCTTCCGAGACAGCTTTGGGAAGATGTCAAGGCTACCGCTCTTCTGCGAAGACGGCGGGGCTGCGTTCGTCCTACCACCGCTCCACCCAACGGAAAGGAGAAAAGAGGCCGAGCCATCGCACTTCCCCTTTGCAGGAAGGATAGGTGTCTGTTTCAGTCCCCCTGCCCTAGACAAGGGAATGGACACCAGCGCCCGTTCGCTATGGCGAAAGTGACGCCGATCCAAGTGCTCGCCTCATCGAGACACAGTGGGAGAGAAAGAGAGAGAGAGAGAGACAGAAGCGGTGGCTGTGCCTTGGCCTTCCTTCCCCCGTAGAGGGTTGAGAAGTGTTCGTCCCACGTGGCTACCCTGAAAACAAATGGGGTCCGTGTCCATCAATTTGCCCGCTGGAGGGGGTGGTGGAAACGGGCTCCGCCCATTCCACTGCAAGCCCTCGCAAGGCGGGAATGAGAAGATGGCCATGCTACCATTCACCTTCAGCGCATAGCAGGTGCGCGCTGGTCCAAGCACCATTCCTGACAAGACGGCATGCACAAGCGTCCATATCATCATCTTTCTTCTTCAGGGGCTCGAGGAGTTCTCATGCAGCGAATTGCCATGTTGCCACTTTACTTCTGCTGAAAAGATTCGGGGTGCGCCCGTTACGTCGCCAGCCACCCGCAATGGAAATCCCACCAGCCCTTTAGGGCGTAGGTGGTTTAGGCTGTTTCCTCTTCCACCCCCTTCTTTCCCTTTGGGGAGGGGTTTACCCCTCCCCCTACCCCCTCCCCTGGGCCTGGACGGGGCGCTCCGCGAGCGGTCGGAGCGTCCAAAACGGCCTCGGCGAGGAAGCCAAAATCATTGGTGTTGCTAGGGTTTGGGCCCCATTTTGGCCTCTGTGGGGGGGGAGGGGGGGGGCGGCGGGCCTGATTGAAGCTCCCCTCTTGTTTGATCGATGTCCTCCAAGATGGCCCCAAGAGCGCTCCCAAGGCTCCCAAGAGCGCTTCAAGAGGGCCCCAAGAGGCGGCCAGGAGGCCCCAACAGGCCCCCCAAGAGGACCCCAGGATGCTCACAAGAGGTCCCCAAGTAACCCCCAAGAGGCCCTAAGATGCCCCCGAGAGACACCCAAGACGGTCCAAGGGGCCTCGTCGAGAATGCCAACATCATTGATTTGACTAAGGTTTTGGCCACAGTTTGGCCTCCTTGGGGGGGGGCACTGCTTAAGATGACTCCAAGACCGCCTGGGAGAGCCCAAGATGACCTCCAAGATGGCTAACGATATCCCAAGATGCCTCAAGATGGCTCCCACGATGCTCCAAGAGGCCCAAAGACCGCTCCAAGATGGCTCCAAGTGGCCAAAGAGCTCCCCCAGGAGGCCCCGTAGAGGCCAACATCCTTCCCAAAACCTGAGGAAAATTAACGTGTTTGGCTTTCTCGCCTTTTCGCTTCCGACGACCATCCGAGGCCTCAAGATGGCTCCAAGATAGCCCAAGAGGGCTCCAAGAGCGCTCCCAAGAGCGCTTCAAGAGGGTCCCAATAGGCGCCCAGGAGGCCACAGGAGGCCCCAACAGGCGCCCAAGAGGCCTCCAAGAGGCCAAGAGGCCCCAAAAAGCTCACCCAAGACGCTCTACGAGGCGTCCGGGACAACCAAGAGGCCCCCAAGACGCTCTAAGAGGCCTCCACTGGGGGACCCTTCCTCTGTGTGCTGCCCACTTCCCTGATCAAGGCAATTCCTCTGGGCATCGTTTCTGGATGGGCTGGTGGGGTTATGCGAAGCGTCAAGAGTTTGGAACGGAGCAAACAATACATTTCCCCTCAGGAGTTGGAAAAGTGATTGTCCCATCCCCCGCACAGTCAGGAAACTAAGCCAGGGTGACGACTTACTGACCCGATGAAGTGGCGAACGCGGCGACGCGCTTATCCCGCCATCGTTTTTAAGACAGCACGAGGGGCGCGATCAGTTCTCTGTCCAACAATGGTGGGCTTGCGTGAGGGAGAGAGTGAGGACAACACAGGGGCGTGCTTTTCTTTTATATATGTAGAAAGAGCGACAGAGAGAGAGAGAGAGAGCAAGAGAGAGAGAAAGAAAGAGAGAGAGAGAGAGAAGCAGTCAGACAGACAGACGGACAGACAGACGGACAGACAGAGAGACACAGAGAGAGACAGAGAGAGACTATGTGTACATACCTCGTCATCGGCGTCGGCGTCGTCGTCGTCCTTGTGCGTCGTGCGTCGTGCGTAGTGCGTCGTGCGTCGCCGTCGTCGTCGTCGTCGTTGCCGGGGG